GGCGAGATGCCAGAATTTTCACCAGAGATCCTGTTGATCTAGATTCAGTTTCTCCACAATCAGATGATTCTTCTAAAGGGGGAGTTGAGACAGAGTAGGATGGTGAGTTTGACGATGATCCTGCTTCTGAAACAGAGATACCACCAGTTTCATCACCTCCTATTCAGACTAGGAGGTCCACCAGAGACAAGAGACCTTCCACCAGGTACAGTGCTCATGAGTATTTATTGCTTACAGATGGGGGAGAACCAGAGTCGTATGAAGAGGTTCTTAGTCATGAGCACAAAGATCAGTGGTTAGCAGCCATGCAAGATGAGATAAAAAAACTTGCATGAGAATAATACTTATGACCTGGTAAAGCTGCCTAAAGGCAAGAGAGCACTCAAGAATAAATGGGTGTTCAGACTAAAAACAAGTGAGAACAGCTCGCAACCCGAGGTACAAAGCCAGATTGGTTGTGAAGGGATTCAATCAGAGAAAGGGCGTAGACTTTGATGAGATATTCTCTCCTGTTGTAAAGATGTCTTCAATCCGAGTTGTGCTTGGAATAGCGGCCAGCTTGAATCTTGAGATTGAACAGCTTGATGTGAAGACAGCCTTCCTGCATGGTGATTTGGAAGAAGAGATTTACATGGAGTAACCAGATGGGTTTCATGAGAAGGGGAAAGAGAAGTTTGTATGTCGTCTCAACAAAAGCTTGTATGGGTTGAAGCAAGCTCCGAGGCAATGGTACAAGAAGTTTGATGCCTTTATGATAGGGCAGGGATACCAAAGGACTACAACTGATCACTGTGTGTTTGTGAAGAAATTCTTTGATGGTGATTTTATAATTCTTTTACTTTATATCGATGACATGTTGATTTTTGGTCATGGTACTGCAAAGATTGCCAGGTTGAAAAAAGAGTTGAATAAATCCTTTGCGATGAAAAATTTGGGTCCGGCTAGACAAATCTTGGGGATAAAAATTTCTCGTGACAGACAGAATGGGAAGCTTTGGATATCTCAAGAGAAGTATATCGAGAAGGTTCTTGATAGATTTAACATGAGCGGTACTAAGGAAGTCTCGACTCCACTTGCAGGGCATTTTAAGCTAAGCAAAACACAGTGCCCTAAAAGTGAGATAGATAAGGAAGAGTGGAAGCTTGAGATGCTTTGTGATCTTCACTACCACTTGGCCCCGATCAGTACTCTCGTCTTTGTTAACACCGAGAGCAAGGCGGATTTCCTTGCTGAAGTAACGCGCAGCAGAGGCTATAAAGTCTCAGTAACCCACGGGCACATGGATTAGAGCGCAAGGGACATTAGCGTGAAAGAATTCCTTTCAGGATCATCTCATCAAATGCTGATCACTACTAATGAATATCTTGCTAGCCGTATGGATAATCCGTTTGTTATAAACTATGACGTGCATAATAACCCTGAGGACTACATTCATCGCGTTGGTTGTGGTGAACAAGATAGAAGGAAAGGTGTTGCGATCAACTTTGTCACTTCGGATGAGATGCGAATGTTGCACGACACAATGAAGTGCTATGGTATTGAAATTAATGAGCTGCCAACAAACAAGATTAATAATTGGTAGGTTTCAGATTGAGTGTTTTTGTGCGCACTAGACAATAGAAAAGAGAGCCTGGACTAGCCACTGGCATTTGCTCAGTTTTATTCAAGATTGGAACTTAGTATTCGTAATTTTTTTTTCATTTTCTGTTGTTTTTTTGTTGTAAGTTCTCATCAGTACTGCATGGTTGTCTTGCTAGAAATCTAGCTCAGTTTTACATATGGGAATTCTGCGGTGTGTTGCATTTTATGCAATTGACTGATATTCAGCATCATCGGCTAATGCCGAGTCCTTAATATGGATGTAAAAGCTCCGAGGAGGGCCCTTCTATGGCACAATTAAGCAATTAATTAAAAAAGAAATCAAACCATGATTAAATTTACTCTTTTAACCACGAATAAAGGAAACATACAGTATATCATTAAGGTCTCTTAAGCATGATGCTTTGCTTTCCCGTAAGGGTTTTCTTCTTTTGTTTTTTCACAAATAATGAAAAAAAAACCCCCAAGGGGGGCTTACATTTCATGGTATCAAAGGGTTTTCCTGGGCCGTCACTTTTTAGGGTTTTTTGCCGCCTTTCAGTTCTTGATTAATCAGCTTTCTTGTTTCTTCTTCTTCCGGTCACCCCTGCAACTTTTTCTTCCGGTATATCGTTGCTTTGTCTCTTGTGCTCAGTTGGGTTTTGCAACTTCTTCTTCTCCACCTTTTTGCCGCTGTTCTTTCCTTTGCTGCTGTTTCTCCATCTCTTCCCGGTGCTTCCCGCTGCAAGTCTCGGCGTTCTGTCCTCCTCATATGGCTGCCGTCATCGTTATTGCAATTCTTGGTTTTGTTCGGTCCTGGTTGGTCTCGGTTCAACTTGGTCCACTCGGTTCATATTCGGTTCAACTGATTCGGTTACAGTTTCAAGGCAAACGACGAAATCTGTTATGGGTGATGATATTGGCAAGACAACTATTAGCATCCAAAGCAAAAAAAGTCACACACTTCCCATACTGCCCTTATTAGGTATTAGGTCAACTCCTCTTAATTGTTTCTGTCTTCAATGGCCTTCTCTCCTTCCATCAATACTATCGTTCTCCACCAAATATGAAAACCTCAATCTCTTTTTATGAATGTGAGAGCAGAGCAGAGGCTTTTTGATATGCCAACCCAAGGTCTGATTTTTCTTTTTCTTTATAGTCACAAAATTAATGTAAAAATTGATCAAGATTAGGAGTTTTTTCCAGATCTGGAATCACTCTTGGGAATCATTAAAAGTGTTCGTCGTGATGGAATTACAGTCAATACACCAAAAGAAGAATTCAACAGTGAAGATAACTTTTTTTCACTCACGAAGCATGGATCTGTATGGTGGCCATGGATCTGCATGGTGCCTTAGGACGGGCGGCAATAATGATCTAATCGGCATCGGATGGCCTAAAACCTGCAAGACAGAGCCTCAGGTATCTCCCGAGGATGGACTCCCTGATGCTTAAGCCAATAAGAGAAATAAGAGAATAGAGAGGTCAATAAGAGAAATAAGAGAATATAGAGAGAGAGGTATGTGTATCGTGTGTAGAAAGTGTAGAAGATAGGTAAAAGATGTGTATTATGGGAGAGGCATCACCTCTTTATATAGGGGTGGTGTTACCTGTTTCCTGAAACTCTAACAGAATAGGTTTAGGCGGTGACTTAATCCCCAAGTAACCTAATCCTAGACCCAATAGGCCTAGGGTTAATTTATGACTCGTCATTCACCATCTCCCAAATAAAACCTTCACCTCCAAATTTCATGCAGCCTTTTCTTAATCCATCTAAATTTACTTCATCTACATGTTCGGCAAAAAAACAGAATTCATAATCACATGCATATTATTATCTTTATTTTTCTACGAATCTTTATTTCTTTTAGTTTTCATTAATCTTCTAGTCAATACGCTCCTCCTCGCACACAGAGTGGGGTATCCCGTGCTTGGATATGGATTAATTGAATTTTGATTGCACTCGGATCTCAGATCAAGATATAAGTATAAATCAAGATGATGATTAAATCATGATCGATCATATTGAATCGATGGCAATATGATATAGAACAACTAAAATTGTGGGCATGGGAAATTGGTTGTAAGGACATGGGAGCGGCCGAGTGGGAGGGAGAAGAGACGGGAGAGTGTAAATGAGCAATTGAGTTAATAAGGGCAATATATGTCTTTTTTGTCCTGTATGCTAATATTTGCCCTGACAGTATCATCAGCTTTGAGAAAAACCTTCATATTCGCTACTTAGGATTATGTCGGTATTGGAAAATGTATTAAATTGAACTTATTTAGGATGTTCAGATTCACCAAATTAAAATGATTCGTTTGTGTGCTTTACAATTTTCTCCGATACGTTCCACAAAGCTTAGAAACAACATCATAGGCCTTGTTGAACACGGTCAAACCAGCGGCAATTCACTATTTCACATTGCAAGCCGTCGGTGTTAAATTTTAAGCGAAGAAACTGAGGTGGCTGCCAGAAGACATCCATTTATATATGAACTATAATCAAATCCACTAGTTCAAAAATCATAGGTAGTATTGTTCACCCTCTAAATCCTTTACTGGAGAAAATGACTTTCATTCTTGACTTCGCTTTAGAATTTCTAGCAAGTAACACAAAAGTCAAGTAATTACAGTGAGAATGAAACTGATTCTTCGGTTCGGATTTTAATTTTTCTTAAGCGCGAATAAAAGTTTCCGATAATCATTTTGGGCAAAGGCAGAATATAAAAGGATTTTTTTTTTCTTTTTTTGAAGGGTGAATATGTAAATGTGATTTTTAATACAATATTATTACCACTATATATACCACTGCATCAGAGGAGATTTTTTAGAATATAACGAAATTGATTCGGAGTCTAACACCATTCCTTTTGACTTCTATATAAAGAGAAATAAGTTCTGAAACTAGGGTTTCAAATTCCGGAAAAAAGAAAAAGAACATGGCGGAAGCAGCAGCAACATCATCAAATTCAAAGGTGAGCCTAAAGCTGTTCATAGACAAAACAAACAAGAAGGTTTTGTTTGCGGAAGCAGACAAAAAAGCTGTAGATTTTCTGGTTCATACACTTGCCTTGCCAATGGGTGCTTTCATGTTTCTAACCAACAAACAAACCGAGGGTTCCGTGGGAAGCCTCTACGGCAGCATCGAAAACTTAAGCGAAAGATACATTCAACCCAACCAATCCAAAGACAAAATCCTGAAATTCAGTGCCCCTGCGTTTGTTGAACCCTTTAAATCGAGTCCTTTCTTTGTACAACCCCCAACAACTCACACACAACCTGAAAAAGTTTATTATATGTGCGGAAGTTGTTATGGATGTGAGCGTTTCTCTGATGAACCTGGTGTCAAATGTTATAGTTGTAAGAATCCTATGAATTACAAGGTGAATTACATCGGGCCACCACGTCCCGCGGGAGAGGAAGGATTTGTAAAGGGAGCAGTCACGTATATGGTTATGGATGACCTGACAGTGAAGCCAGTTTCTACAGTCGATTTGCTGAAAGGGTTAGATGGGAGGGATGCGGAAACCCTTGAAGAGAAAGTGGTTGATATTGGCCAGGAAGAGGTATGTTCAATCCGATTAATGATTGTTTCACAAAATGAATGTTTTGTTTAGATTTCACTTGTCATATAAATTGTACTAAATTTACCTTTTCACTTTTAGTATGAATTGCACTCCCCACGAGTTTAAAAGTTGTACTATTTTGAGTACAAATTTTATAATTCAACTTAGATTATTTTATTGGGATAGAGATAATACTGAAAGTGAAATGCTGTAAATATTTTGGAACTGGTGACAGTAATTAGTCTTTTTACACTTCTATTTATAATTTATGCGAATATGGGATTTACAAACATGTGTTCAATGTATCAAATATTACGTGGGAATCTGGGGAGAGAATGGCCAGCTTTAAGGGGATTAATTCCACTTGATATATATTTAAATGAGCTGGTTGATATATATTCAAAGGATGAATTCTGGCCAAATACTTTACTTTTGGACCTGTTTACATATGCATACTGGTGACAGTAATTAGTCTTTTGACACTTCTCTTTATAGTTTACGTGAATATCCTAATATACAAACATGTGTTAAATTTAAGTGTTACATAGGAGTCTTGGGAGAGAATGACCAGCTTTAAGGGGATTCAAGTTGATATGTATTTTAATGAGCTGGTTCATGCTGGTGGGTATTACAAAATATGAAATCTTCTACTTATTTTAATTATATGCAACATTTAGTATATTTCGTTTTGAGGTTTGTGTACGTCCGTATCCTTTACTGCATAGTACATGAGCAGTTAATTATTTCGTTTTTGTTCGTTTAAACAAACCATGCGGTAAGAAAGTTATCTTAAATTAGTCATGAAAGTTTTTGGGATAAATCAAATTTTTTTTTCGTATATTGTTCTAGTTCGTTTTATTTTTCGATTAATGATTTGACAGGCGATGAAGTTGCTGAGCACAATCCTGGTGTCAAAAACAGTTCTCACCGATGTTTTCTTGAGTAATATAGGTAAGTGAAACTTATTTAATCTATGTTGGCAAGAAATTTTCAATTATGAATATGCCTACACGGGTACATTTTGAATAATCCGGAAGAAAGCCTATAAAGGGGTTAACAGTACCTAAGGTGATTTTGTTTTGTATAACATAGAAGTAATTTAGAAAGTTAAAATAGTTATTGTTGACTTTGTTATATAGCCAAGTATATATATGCTTGTTTTGAAGAGTTTTTTGCCCAAAAAATTATTTAAAAAAGATCCTGCTCAAAAATAATATGGATCTGAATTAGGTAGACAACACTAGTTATATTGGATTTTCCAAACCGAGAGTACCGTACAGTCGGATTTTGCAAATCTGAGACCATCGAAACTCGGATTAGTGTCGAATTAGTGTAATCCGAGACTTTAGTAACTTAAAATTACTTAAATTAAATCTAAAGATTAATTTAAACTAATCAAAAGTCAGTTCGGGAGTCAATAATAAAAAATATTTATTTTTTTAGAAAAATAATCTAAGTGTTCGAAAATAAAAGTTGACTAAAAGTGGATTAGCCTAATCCAAAACATTAAAATTCGGATTTCGGAAATCTGAAAATTTATAATAAAAAATTATTTTAAGTTTTGAAAAAAAATGTATGTGTTAAAAATAAAAGGGAAGAGACTCGGATTTCGGTAATCCGAGTCCCTCTGTACTTACCCTTAGATTTGGGAAATTCGACCTGTTTAGAAAATGACAACTTTCAGATATTGAAAATCCAATTTTTACTTAAACCCGAATTTTGGGAATCCGAGTTTAAACTTAAATTGTATTTGGGAAATCCGTAACTAAACCCTAAACCCTAAACCCTAAATCCTAAACCCTAAAAGTCGGATTTTAGAAATCCGAGTTTAAGCTAAAGTCGGATTTTCAAAATCTGTGTTTAAACTAATCTTAGATTCTCGGAATCCGAGTTTGAGATAAACTCGGATTTGGAAAATCTAAAACTAAACCCTAAACCGTAAACCCTATGACCTGATTGTGAAAATCTAATTTTTTTGCTTAACTTGAATTCTGAAAATTCGATTATTTGCTCAAAAAGTACATAAACTAGTACAGATGAATTATACTGAGTTAATAATAATATCTAATAATTAACAGATTTAACAGTAATAAGTAACACTATTACCAGTAATGTATAGTGGGTAATAATATTAATGTACCACATAATACAAGTACGTATAAATAGTACATAAGACTAGCGTAGATGAATTATATTGAATTAATGATAAGTGGTACTAAAGTTACTTATTACTATTAAATCTGTTAGTCATTAGATATTATCATTAATTCAGTATAATTCATATGTTTAGTGTTATGTACTTTTTATACGTACTAGTATTATGTAGTACATTAATACAATTACCCACTATACATCAGTTGTACTAATGTTACTTATTATTGTTAAATCTGTTAATTATTAGATATTATCTTTAATTCATTATAATTCATATGTACTAGTATTATGCACTTTTTATACATTCTAGTATTTTGTAGTACATTAATACTATTACCCACTATACATCACTGGTATTAGTCTTACTTATTACTGTTAAATCTGGTAGTCATGTATAGTGGGTAATAGTACTAATGTACTACATAATATTAGTACGTATAAAAAGTATATAACACTAGTACATATGAATTATACTGAATTAATGATATATCTAATGACTAATAGATTTAACAGTAACAAGTAACACTAGTACCACTGATGTATAGTGGCTAATAATATTAATGTACTACATAATATTAGTACGTACAGATAGTACATAACACTACGTAATATTAGTAATATACATTTTTCATCAATTATACTGAATTAATTTAATTCAAATTCCTATCAGTTTTAATAATACTACGTAACATTACTACTATATATTTTCATCAATTTAAAGTAAATTTCTAGTAATTATTGGTAATAAAAGATTTTATTAATATCATATCTAATACAATATCTTTTGTTTTTTATATTTTTTTAAAAGTGGATATGCCAATTTAATGCGAATTCCTATCAAAACTAAAATTTTCAACGGTTTTTGCACTAAAAGATTTTTTTAAAAAGAAGTAGTTTGGATTTCCGTAATCTGATTGCACTGTTCATTTATTAAATTTTCAAACTTTCCACCCTAAATAAAATTTTAAATTTTCCCGCCCTTCAGTGTTTTTTTTTTAAATTATGTTTAGGAAGCTCTCGAATTTCGGAAATCCGAGTCTACTGTACACATTTTGACCTCAGTTCCTTTTTTTTTTTTCAAAATAAAAAAAAATTTATTATTTTTTATTGTTTCGGATTTGGCAAATACGAAAGTCCGATTAATTAGACTCTCAAATTTTTGTCAAATTCAGGACAACTACTTATATTTACCAAAATTAAAATAAAATTTTTTTTTGTCCACATCGGTTCTTTTAAATTTTTTTGATCGAAGAATCCTTGTTTTGAACTCCTTTATTGGTTTTAAAAGTGTTTTGAAAAATAACACACGCACCTCACAAAAAGCATTGGGACAAGGTTGTACGTCTTTTGTTCTCTCTCTCTCTCTCTGTAATTTTATGCCTTCAGTTTCACTTTTGATAGGATCTAAACCCGAGGTGAAGACTGAAACCGAGATTTCCGTGAAGAAAATCCCTATGAAAAGGGTTGCTAAAGACCTTAAAAGGCCTAAGAGGCCTGCTAGTGCTTTCTTCGTCTTTATGGACGAATTTAGGAAGATATACAAGGAGAATAACCCCAACAACGCATCAGCTAATGCTACGGGTAGAGCTGGTGGATACAAGTGGAAGTCGATGTCCGATGAAGAGAAAGCTCCTTATCAAGCCATATCTGACCAGATGAAAGTCGATTATCAGAACGAGCTTGCGGCATACAACAAGTGGCTGGCTGAAGGTCTTAGCCCTAAAAACGAAGAGTTAGACAACTCATGGACCGAAGTTAATGTTAGAGAAATACAATGAGGTAAATGACGAAGGAAGCCAAGAGAGTATGATGTTGATGAGTAAAGGCTGTTGAATCATTTAGAAATATCATATGATCTCTTCCATTTCCTCGCCCCCTTTATGGTGAAAAGAATAGTCTAAAGGTGAATTAGCTACATATAAGAAAATTTGTAGCTTCAACAATATTTTTCACTTTCACATAGAAGTTTTAATTTATTTTTCTTTTTGCTCCAATTATTGTATTAGATTATAGAATCCTAGGTTCTACAAGTGCTGTCTGGAATATCTAATCTGGTTTAAACTCTCCAAAAAATGGTTTTTCCATCACTCTTGGTATCCTTCAAACGATATGATTGTAAAAAATATATATTATTAATTACTAGTACGCACGGTTTTTTAAAATATTTTATGTCATTTTCAAACTATTAATCAATAATGATTTATAACCGTATAATTTGCTATTTACAATTTATTTTTTTTTGAAAGGGATAATATCGTAATGTTATTCAATTGATAAAGAATAACACTTGAAAGCAATGTTTTCAAAATCGGAATTTCACACAGGATCAGATCGGATTCTGAATCGGTGGGATCGGATCCGCGGGATCCAACCATTTAAAATATTATAATAATTTTGAAATTGCGAGTTTCAATTTGTTAGTTCAATTCTTGTTTAATTTTATAAAGGAGAAGTAGATTAGTGCCGCATCAGTATCATCATCTCAAAGTTTCAACTTTTATATTTTATCTAATCATTTTTCCCTCTTTTTATACGAAATCAACAATTTCTACGAGTATCGACAAAATCAATGGGATCGCTGGATCGTAGGATTCTACGATTCGCATTGGGATTTTGAAGGATTCCATAAGATCCCACTACAAAGAAAGATTTTATAAGATCAAGAATCGATTTCCTAATTCAAGATCACTGGATCTTGAGATCCTAAGATCCGGATCGGGATTTTGAAAGCCTTGCTTGGAATAAGTTTGGGAGACACGTGTTCTCCCGATTTCAAACTTATGTTTGTCATGCGGGTATGGGGGTTTTCTTATGATGGTTTACCACCTCTTACTGTAATTTTTTTTAATTAGAAACTTAATGACTTGTGATATTAATAAGTGTTGGGAGAAAACTTTTTTATCCTTAATAATGAAAAAGAAGAAAAAGAAAAAGAGGAGGATTAGATAATCATAAAAAGTAGAGTAAACTGCTTATATGATCTTTTACATTTGTAAAAAACTTACTTTCGCCCATTACGTCAAAAGTTCACTGAATTGGTCTATTACATTTGTCTTTTACACCCTAATTTAGTCGTTTTTAAATTTTTTTTTCGACACTATACATTTGGTGGTTCTTGGGTTGACCATTTCTTGGTCAAATCATCAGGGGTATTTTCAGTAATGTCTAATTTACAAAAAAAATATATTAAAAAATAAATTAAAATAATATTAACTATATTATATTAATTTATAAATAATTTTTAAAAATTAAAATTCGAAATTCACTTTTTTTTTTCCCAAAATCAGATTTCTTTTTTTTTTTTTTGATCCCATGGGTCGGCATCTAGTTCTTATTATTCGCCTTATTCTTTAACTTTTTTTTCTCTATTCTCCCGGTTAAACACTTTTCCCTTCCCAAACTCCGTCCTGAGTAACTGTGCCGCTCATCTGTACGTTTCTGCTCGTAATGGACCTTTAACTGTCTGGGTTCAATCAGATCAATCAAGATAATTTGGATTAAATCACCTACCCAACTGGCCTAACCTAGACTCTGATACAATTATTGGAGATTTATCCGGGAGAGAAAACTCGACATACAGACCAATAAGTAAGATAAGACTCATTTTCTTTTTTGAAAGGAAAAAAAAAAGAAAAGTCATTTTGATGAATTTTTGGTGCATTATATGTTCAAACAAATACTATAAAATAGATATTCTATTTATTTTTAGGAATTGTATCTTTTGCAAGTTATATATAAAATAAAAATAAACCTGATGTTATACAAAATGAATTAATTTATATGTTTACATATATATAACAAAAAAATTATATTACCCAGCTGCGTGCAGTAAAATGTAAAATGTGTCAATAAAATATTTTAACTACTGAAATGTCACAAAATCGTACTGCGATGACATCTTAAAGGTTCTTAATAGGTTACTTCTTAAAACAAATTTGTCAATTGTAACTTACTCTAATGCCACCTCAACCCCTGATCGTTCAGCATCTGAGAACATCTCCGGCATTTTTTGTAGCGACAAGTTTGCATCATGACTCCTAAAAATGTCGTATCAAGTTAGATGTGTGGACGTCTAAAAATGTATTAATAGACTACGTATCTATACAATTTATTCGGCCAAAAGAAATTGAGATACTAACACATTTTCACTATTAAAAATGTCATAAAAAAGTTGGTTACATGGCATCTATAAATGTCAAGACTGGTTACTTGTTTAGACAATGTTTTGTGTATCAAAAGTTTTTAGTTTTGACAACTTAATGTTTGTTTGTCCAATAAATCATTTTCTATTTTCACTCATTTTACCTTTTAAACACAAAACCCAATGAAAAAAAACATCATCCAAACAACTTTTTAATTTACCTTTTAAAATGTTGTGTTTGGTCATTATACTATTGTAAAGTCTTCGTTTTGGTCACTGAACTATTGTAAAGTCTTCATTGCGTTTGGTTACTAAACTATTGTAAAGTGCTGTGTTTGGTCATTATACTATTGTAAAATCTTCATGTTGGTCGCTGAACTATTTTAATTTCATAAATGGTCACTATACTATAATACTTTCTAAATAAAAAACTAAACTACCTTTTAAATCTCCTCTCAAATCCAAATAAAAAACTAAAACAAAACGTTATCCAATCAAGCACTTAATCGTCATATTAGGCTCTCTATAAAACATCTACTTGTGTCTTAGGTCCTGTTTGATAAAACTGAAGTCTGGAATTTGAAGTCTGAAGTTTGAAAACTGAAAATACAAGTGGAATGACTGAATGAGGTAAATAGAAATGTCTGAATTTGAACACTGATTCCACTCAAGCTGTTTGATAATATTGCAGGACTGAAATCTGAACATGGATAAATTTACCGATATATCCCTATATGAAAATTTAAATATATTTTTATTTATTAAATTATACTTTTAAATTAGTACAATTTTTCCCTTAATGCAATAAATGATTTTACTTAAAAAGATTAATTACATAAATAACTAAAGTAGTTTAGAAAATAATCCTCAATGCAAATTAAAGTGTACAAATAAAAAATTATAATAAAATATTCTAATATTAAATTAAAATATAAACCTAAATTGTTTCTTTTAAAATTGATCTTTAAGTGTTTCACGCAAATTAATCATAAATTCTCTATCAGCTTGTCTATTTCTTCCTGTGAAAGATCCAGTTGCCACATCATCTTCAGATAATTCTAATTCTTGATTATTGCCCAAAATTGTATCTTCATTTTCGAATTCTTCAAACCAAATATCATTGGCGCCAATTTTGCGGAGATAGTTGTGGATAGCCGCATACACAATGACAATATTTCTTTGCGTTTGAAATAGATGTGGTGACATTGTCTTTAAGATATGAAAACGTTTTTTTAGCACGCCAAAACTTCGTTCAACTACATTTCTTACTCGAGCATGAGCTTGATTAAACTTTTCTTCCTTTGATCTCGCACGGCCACCAGATCAAAAGTCTGACAACCAATGTCACACATTGCAGTAAGATGTAAAAAATGCACGAGTAAGAGGATAAGCTGCATCACAAAGATAATATTTCCTTAAAATAAAAAAATATTGGGTTAGTCTCGTGGTATGACTGCATTTACAAGCGTGCCATCTAAAGCTCAAATAGCACCCTTAAAAAAAAATTTAGTGTACTATATATTAAATAGATTACTACCATTAGTCAATTAAAATAATAAAAAATATAACATTCGAAAATCACCGGAAAAACGTATAGCTCCCATGCCGTGAAATAATGTAATCATTTCATCTACGTAGGGCAAAGGATTGTATCGAAATTGTTTTACTTTTGGATTACTCTGTATAATAAGGTAAAATAATTTAAATAAATTATACTTGTAGTGAACTACGTTGATTTGTATAAATTACATGTATGTATGTGTCCCATTGCTCTGGACTCCAATTTATTATGCTTGTTACTTCATCATAATGAATGTTCCCTGTAATTCCTATAAATTTATTCCATACGTGAGTTTTCCTTTTCAAAACGTTCCATTCATTTTTTAGTTGCTTTTATGTTAGGTTAACACCAAGTTCCATCTTCAATGTCTTTCTCATACTCTCCCAAGATTCTTTCTTTAAACTTCTTCTAGAAATTCGTCTAGCATTCACTTCATCTAAACACAACTCTATGTAACGTTTAAATAATTTTGGATCTTTCCAAGTGACTCTCGCAACTGGTTCTTCTTATTTCATCATGTTGGATACATTTCATTAAGTATTATTTATATTCCATTTAACAATGAAGGTGTCCTTAAGAATAATAAAAGACCAAAGAAAGAGACATCATATAAAATAAAATTTATTACAAGCTAAACTTTCACATGATTAGCATCCTAATTTCAAATATTTGTGAGTGCGTGTTGAATTTGAGTATAATTCTCTATAGAAACTGAAGCTATATATCAATTAGGCATACCACGTGAAATTAAATTTATTACAAAACCCCACCCAAATACTACCCAATCAAATTTGCAAGTTCTTTAATCAATTCATAACATACTCAACAGTATCTCTCGCATTTCCCTTGCCTCACACACACAACCTTTCTCTTTATCTTTCTTGAACACCAAAATACCACCCCTCCCCACATAACCAATACCATTGCATGCACACTCCATTGTTTTTCCAAAAAATCAAATTATTTTTTAAAAAAAAAAAATTAAGAAAGATTAAGTCATCATATTTGCCAACAACGACCATCATGTCAGCATTGTAACTTCCTAAATAAATCGAAAGTCTAGATGCTTGGCAATGCATGTACGCCAATCTAACTACTAACCATATTCTCACGAGAACCAACCATTGTAACTACATAAATAATATAGAAAATTCACGTGGTAATCTGTACACATCATAAGCTACCTGCCTTCCAAACAGAAGTATACACGAGAATGTCAAAACTCAAAACGGAGTACTAAACCAAAACCAGACATATCAGAGACTCCAAATAAAATAATGTCTTCCATAAATCCAAAAACTAAATCCAAACAGAACAATCAAAAAAAAAAAAAGGAATAAAGCCACCTACTTCATTTCAATTGCTGAAATAATCAAATTCTTAATTCAACAAGAAAAATTATGGAGTTAAAAGAGAAAATTATATTTCAAAAGCGGCGTCGACCAAGTTATAGCCTTGAAAGAGGGTCCAAAAGCAAGTTCATCGGCGTTCCTCCGTGTGTCTCACTAGCTATGAGCTATAAGTTACCACAATAACTCAAAATAACTTAGCCAAAAAAAAAACAAAACACAAACCTATAGGTTAGAATTATGAAAAGGTCCAAAACAATAGTAATAAACAGATTTAATTTTGGGCGTTCAATTAGAAGCAAGTGTACATCTCTCGAATTGCAAAATGGATACATGCTAAATGAAATTAGATTTTCAAACAGCATAAAAGGGAAAGAGAACTCACCAATACACACCAGTTGTGACGGATTTTCTTCTGATCTTTTCCATCTTTTGTTTGAAGGATAAAAATCCCTCGCTTCGATGAATAAGAGGAAGAAGGCTGCTGGTCTTTAGGTGTTTCAAGAAAAAGTTTGCAAAGGAAAAAGGGGAAGGGGTTTAAGATATTTTATTTCTCATTATTAAATAGATAAACTTAGATATACCCTGAATTCATTAAGTTTAAGTGTTTAATTGCGTTATAAACAGAGCCTTAATACCCAGTGTATTAAGACAATTAATAATGTAATAGTCAAGTGTCCCGTGACGTTCATAAATGTCAAGTCATATTGATTAAACTACATCTTCTTGTGTTGTGCTATGATAAATGTGGACATTTTGAACAAGTAATGTTACATATATAGATGTCTTTATATGTAATAAACCTAGTGTTATCCCTACTTACACTACATTTAAAAGTAGTGTAGTAATTGAGTAAAATGTCACGATTTGTACTATATTACTACATTTTAAAATGTATTAATAACTCATCTTTCTTGTAGTTTTTCACCATAAAGATTATTAAAAAAAAAAAGAAGAAAAAACTTACGTGAATCTTAACTGGAAAACTTTTATTAAGGGCATTGTAGAAATCGGAATTATTATCCACTGGTGGTACTAATTCTAAAATAAAAATTACATGAAAATATGCACAATTTCATTGCCCCACCTTGTGCCAGTGGTATTTGTTTTATATTTATAAAATGCAAGCGAACATCAATAAAGTTTTGGTATATATTATATATTTAAATGTATAAAATCAAATTCATATATATCGCTCACCACCGACGGGTCGGCTTTAAATTGATCGCACAAAGTGCTGGATGCTGAAATGTTATCAAAGATACGCTAAGATACCCCCGTTGCAAATTGTTGCTAGTCATGATTCCAATTAAAGTTTTTGGATCTCTTTAATCTTTTCAAAGTAATTATTTGAAGTGGCTAATCTGTTATGCATTTGTGGGATGGACCTTTTCATAGAGCTACTGCAATTTGATTGATCATGGAGTATAAAACAGTGCAGCCACAGGCGAAATTTGCTGGTCTAATCAATTTTACAGGCTTTAAAAAATTTTATTTCAATGCTTTTAGGAGGGTATAGTGATTTGTGATTCTGATTCTCAATTTTCGTACTGCATCATTACATTCGTTTCAATGGAGATATCTTTGCAGTGTTGCCAAAGTTTAGGCATATGTGTAGATTTAGTTCTTTCTCATCTCATCATTCTTGGAGCTGTTGAAATCCTTGTAAATGACTTGCGCTAGTGCCTTCTAGATCTTACATCAGCAGATATTTGCCTGTTAACTGTTTGGTTCTCTAAGAAAATAATTAACCAGAAAAAGTAATCAAAACCAACGTCTCTGAGGAAGGGAATTTGATTGAAGTAAGGATTGTTTGGTTCTCCAAGATAAGGAAGTATACATATTTAAGACAGAAGATGAGTGTTTTACTACCAATAACAAAAGCATTATTAATAATAATTTTGGTTACTGGGGGTGCTTGACTTTAGGTGGCTCAGACCCAAATTTGTGGACAAAAAAATGTGTAGGGTTTAAAAACTGGACATTTCTAATGTTTTTGCACTTTCAAAACACGAAACAAAAAAGTTAAATTAAAAATTCGCGTTTGTGAAACGCGAATCCTTTTAATTATTTTTCCGCAAATTGATCCGGGGAGAAAGAAAGAGAAAAATAGAATTAAAAAAGGGAAACGAAAAATAGCGTTTTGAAAACGCGAGTATTGTATCTTGCGTTTCAGAAACGCGAACAGAACTTTCGCGTTTAAAAAATGCGAGAAACTATAAATTTTAAATAATTTTTTTTTTAAATTTTAGACAATTTAGCATTTTGAAAATAAAGCGAATATTGTGACAATTTAGCGTTTTGAAAACGCGAAAATTTATTTTTAGCGTTTTGAAAACGCGAAAATATTCAGAAAATCTCCTCAACCACTCAATCGTCTCCATGTGTATTTTGATGATAGGTCTTGAATGTATTCGCGTTTTGTACCCGCGAAATTTAAGATTCACATACCAAAACAAGCAAAATAATAGCATTTCTTTCCAAACTTCTTTCGTTCTGTTGAGCTTCGATTTTGAGTTTCACTCCGGAGGACTTAGCTGAATCCGGGAAAGCTCTCATTTCCTTCAATGAAGAAGTTGCTCCGAAGTTAAAGAAGATTGATTTGAGTCCTGAAGCCTATTTAAAACCCAAAGTTTCAACATTTAGGTAAGTTTTTTTCGTTATGGAAAACTTGTATTTTTTTATGCCTTATTGTGAGCATAGGATGATTTACGCATTATTATAGTTAATAAATAATTGTGATTTACTCAATTAACGGTGGATTTTTAATTAGGCTGATAAAGTAAATTGAAAGAAATATTAGTTAATAGAATGTTAAATTAGATGAGCTTTGTAAACTATTATATATCGATTTCTGTAAAATAAAATAAAATTATAATAATGATATTAAAATTTTGAATATTTTTAGCATAAGAATAAATTATGTAATTCGAGCACAAGGTTTAGATTTAATATTAATTTAAATTCTTTGATTGTAAAATTTGTAAAATACCAATGCCTGAATTGTGTGCGCTGTTGTTAAATTAAATGATTCTTGAAATTTATTGTATATTGGTTTATGAAAAAGTTTATAATACTCAGATTGAGTTTTTAAAATATTTTTAGCGTAGAAATGAATTTTTAAATTCAGGGGTATAGTTCTTCTTTTGAAATTATTAAATCTGTAAACAGGGTAAATACTATTTCGGCAAAACTAAAATTCAAAATATATTCTAGTGTTCTGATTTCGTAGGATATGATTTTGCAGGCCGTAAATGTCTTTCACGGAGACAGTTCATCTGAAATTATACTGGAATACTACTTATACAACTGAACCTGATGGAACTATCACGGTACAGCGAGATACGCTGGATGGTTATCTTATTATTGATCGTATGTTAGATTTCTCGGAACTTGTTGATAAGGTATGTGGTGTGATGGAAGTTGATAGAGAAGGGATGTGTATTGATTTTTTATTGGTATGGACGGAGAGGTCAGGGAAAAGGTCTCGTGTGCACATTAATGATGATAATACTGTACGGTTCCTTTATCTTTGTGCTGATAAATGGCTGGAATTGTACCCTAAAAATGTTGAGAGAATAGGCCATGGTTATGCAAGTACATCTGGCCAGGATATTGGTGTGGGCACTAGTGGTGGTAGAACAGTTGAAGACAATGAAGATGGAGATGAAGATGAAGATGAAGATGAAGATGGCAGGGTGTCGAAAGCAGTGATGATGAGTACGTCCCATCGGATGAGGACCCAGATGACGACACTGATTTTGATTCATCTTCTTCAGTACCATATGTTTTCGACGATGTCAGTGGATGGGAGAAGACTTTAGAGGAAGGAGATTCTGATGGAATAAAAATGTGGGACGGTAATCCGATGACGGTTGACCTTGATGTACATTTCACCAACAAGCTTGAGGCACATACGGCAGTGGGAGAATGGAACTTGCGACATGGTCGGCCTTTCCGGGTGAAAACTAGCTCTAAACGAACATGGTATGTCGAATGCGAGACCTATAGGCCCAAATATCCGAAAGAGCGTCTTCATGGCTATGATTGCATGTGGAAGGCGCAAGTTTTGCTAGAGAAGGCTACCGATACTTGGAAAATGGTGGTATGGTCCGATTCCCACAACTGTCTTGGGGCAAACAAGAGAAACGAGTCCCGAAACGTGACGTCTTCTATGATTGCTAGACTGGTTGCCCAAAATGTAGGAAAACATCCAGGTTTTGCAGTTGCCCAAATTCAAATAGAAGTTTTGAAGAGGTACCAAGTCGAATGTAGCTACAAGAAGGCATGTCATGGTAGAAGAAAAGCACTTGAGGCTCTGTATGGTACATGGGAAAGTAATTTTCAACAACTGCCTAGCTTCCTTGATGCATCGGTCATGTCAAACCCGGACACCTGTGTGCAATTCAAGTTTAAGAAAAATTCAGGAAGCTCGCAAAGGTTTGTGTGTAGGTATGTTTCTGGGCATTTGGGCCACCTATACAATTATTTCATGCTTGCTGGTAAGTAATAACCATCGATGCCACCCACCTTCGAGGATCCTGCAAAAGAAAACTAATTGTGGCATGCGTGAAGTGCGCAAATGGCATAATTTTTCCCATCGCGTTTGATCTTGTGGACGAAGAGACCATACATAGCTGGAAATGGTTCTTGAAGTATTTGAAAAAGTTTGTTCTACAAGATAGGAAGACCTGTATTATCGCTGATCGAAATCAGGGTATCCTTACTGCCATGGACATCATGTTGCAAAAATATCCAGAGATGGGAGTCCACCGGTGTTGTCTGGAGCATGTTAAAGCAAACTTGGTTGGGCATTTTCGAAAGGAGAAACTGGGAGGCAACTGTCAAATGATTGGTTCAGCGACGCAAAAGACAAGGTATTTGGCAGAGTGGCAGAAATTAGAAGAAAAAAATGACAAGGCAGCTCATTGGCTTCAGAAGCTGGATGTTGAGAAATGGACCTGTTTTTACGATGGAGGGCATCGTTTGGGAGAAATGACCACTAACTTTTCAAATAGTTTCAATAATGTTCTGAAAGGTGCTAAATTCTTCCTGATCACAGCTTTGATCCTAGCATCCTTTCAGAAAAGCAACAATCTGTTTCAGGCAAACATTGATATGATCCAGATATGCCAGAATGTTCTACCTCCTAAGCCCATGAAACTGTATGAAGAGGCCCCAGAGAAATCAATGAGGCAACAGGTAAACCAGTTTAGCAAGAGAAACCAGAAGTACGAAGTGGTTACAATAGCACCTGATAATCAACCATGGAAGGCTGAGGAGAAGCAAGTTGTGCTCTATGCAGCTCGAGAGTGCACTTGCGGGGGGTGGCAGACTACCAGATTTCCTTGTTCCCATGCACTTCGAGTTGCCCGTGAGCTAGGTGACGACCCCTTCCCACTTTTTGATCCATGTTACAATACGCAGCGATGTTACCAACAGTTTTAGGGAGAATTTAACCTAATCATGAAACCATGGCCAAAGGCAACGTGGCAAATCAGGCTAGATGACACTAAACTTGTCCACCATGCTGGGCAGGGTCAGAAGCGTGTGAATCGAAAAAAAGGTTTGATGGATTATACAAGCAAATCTGGCCAGCGAAGACTCCAAACTTGCAGTTTATGTAAACTACAGGGCCATAATGCCAGGGCATGCCCATATGCGACAGTTTGCGCACGATGTGGAAGTTTAGATCATGATGCTGTGGAATGCCCATTTTCTCATCCACCTGCTGACAGGACCGCTATTGATAAACTTTACGATCCATATGGAATTCGTGGTGTGCCTAAGATTAATTCTGATGATTTTGATGATGCGTAGTGATGATTCTGTTAGTGTTTGTGTTGGTGTGTTGTTTTGAACATTCCTGTAATAAATCTTAGAGGATGATTCTGTTTGCGTTTGTATTTGTTAACGTGTGTTGGTTTAGATGTTTGTGTGATAAACTCAAAAATTAGTGATTTGTTTATTCAGAGTGTGTTTGTATGATAAATTTAATAGTAATGTAATGTACTACAATTTAATTATGCGTTTATCAATAGAATGCTAAAACAGCGAAAACTGGAAATTTTAAAATGCGATTAAAAAGTGTAAGGAGAACGGGAACATTTGAATCACATTTTAAAAAAGTTATATTGCACATGACTCACCAGATTCAGCCACGTGTCCAAATTCTGGTGAGTCAAATTATTCGCGTTTCAGAAACGCGAAATTCTTGGTTGGTTAAGTCAAAGTTTTCGCGTTTCGCTTCCTTGGTTTCTTTCTTTCCCGATGGCCGTCAGAATCCATAGAAACCGGCGAAACAACATTGCTCATTGCCGGATGCGAGTTTCGGTGTCAATTTTTTGCATTTTCTAGGCTATATATCGAGGTAAATTGTTATTTTGCTCTCATTTAATCGTTTTTTTTAAATCATGCTTTTAATCCCGAATTCTATTGTATTTGTGTTGATTTTTTTTATTTTAATTCGCAATTTAATACTCCGTTAATAGATCTAGTATTGTAGGTGGTGTAGTTGTGGATTTATTTTAGATCCGGGGTTGTGGGTTATCACGGGGGTTGCCGGCGGGGGAGTTGGGGGACTTGCAGGCGGGGGACTTGACGGGGGTTAGAGGGGGGTAGCCGGCGGGGTGGGCTTAGGGTTGTGGGGTTTTGGGTTTCGGGGGGTTTTGGATTTCGGGGGGTTGGGTTGGGTTTAGAAGTGGGTTTGGGTTTTGAGGGATGTTTAGGGTTTAGGTTTAGAGGGTTGGGTTCATAGGTTGGGTATTGAGTTGGGTTTAGAGGGTTGGGTATTGGGTATAGAGGGGTGGGTTTAGAGGGTTGGGTTTTTAAGGTTGGGAATTGGGTTGGGTTTTTTTAAAATAAAATTTAGGGATAATAAAATTAAGCCATTAAATTCAAATTTAGGGTCGGATTTTTTTGAATATATATAGATAATTATATTAAAAAATAGGATAATAGATATTGATAAATATTAATCCCTACTTACTAAAATTTAGGGTTGGATTTTTTCTTATATATATAGATAATTAAATTAAATTTTAGGATAAACAATTTGATAAATATTAATCCGTACTTACTAAAATTTAGGGTCGGATTTTTTAATATATATAGATAATTAAATTAAATTTTAGGATAATAAATATTGATAAATAGTAATCCGCACTTACTAAGATTTAGGGTCGGATTTTTTAATATATATAGATAATTAAATTAAATTTTAAGATAATAAATATTGATAAATATTAATCCGTACTTACTAAAATTAAGGGTCGAATTTTTTAATATATATAGATAATTAAATTAAATTTTAGGATAATAAATATTGATAAATATTAATCCGTACTTACTAAAATTGTTTATAAATTGTTATAGCCATGGAGATTGGATCATCTTCTTCCTCCCAATCTACCTCAAAAAAGCTACGGCAGGGACCTAGAGACAATAGTTTGTCGTTCTTCCAAAACGCCCCCAGGTGCGTAGATAGCGCAGCGTGGAAATATATAAAAGATGTACCGACAATGACAAAGGAATACATTGAGAAATTTAGTTTTGGACCGTTTTCTAGAATTGAGTCCATAAGATGTGACCATGCCCTGCTTACAACTCTTGTGGAGCGGTGGCGCCCTGAGACCCAAACTTTTCATTTACCTTTTAGGGAGGCTACTATCACACTGCAGGACGTTGAGGTTCTTTTGGGGCTTCGGGTTGATGGACGTCCAGTTACAGGATATCATACCACGCCTGAAGGTGGTTGGACTGCCTATTTGGAGAGGATGTTTGGATTCAGGTTCCAGATAGAGGAGTACAAATTGACTAGCGTTTCCATCACTGAAATAAAGACTCACATAGAGAACAATCCTTTGACAGACCAGTCCCCCCACGAGGCACATTTACAGCGAGCCTTTTGTTTTGTTGGATGGCTAGTTGGCGGATTACTGTTCTTTAACACTACGAGAAACAGTTTTCCACTCGATCTTGTGCATTTTCTGCATACTCCCGAGATATGCTCGGAGTACAGTTGGGGTAGCGCAGCACTATGTTACTTGTACCGCAGCATGTCCAAGTCATCTCTGGCCGCTTCCGCAAAGGCTATTACCGGCTGTGTGATTCTTCTTCAGGTAATTTATCTTTTCATTTCCCTCTCTTTTCATTTTATATTCTCCCATAATTATTTGTGATATTAGCTAATGATCCATAAATTGTGAATCAGCTCTGGGCCTGGGAGCGGATTTTGATGGTTCAGCCAAAGATACTGGGTGAGGAGCTCGATCTTTCTCATTGTCCATTGCGCACGAGGTAATCTTACACATCAATCCTCCGCAAATTTTGACATTTTGATTTGTACTGTCATGTCTCAATTTAATGTTAGTTTTTCCATGCAGGTGGTTTCGTGAGAAAAAAGTTCAAGGTATCACGCGGTTCAATTTGACCGCCTACCGGGATCAGCTTGCAGTTCTCGCAGAGTCAGATGTTAGTATTCATTTCAATTACTGTAACATATTCTTTATTGGATTTTTTTAATGGTGCCGGACTTTTAATTTCCTATCTCTTACTGAATTACCACTGCAGTTTGTATGGATGCCGTACACGACTTTTCTGGGTCGTATTGCCAGGGTTTGTCTTGAGGGACAGGGCATCTGGCGATCTCAGACATGGCTCCTCTGCGGTGATGTCGTTGCGCCACACAACCTCAGTAGGGTATTTCGCCAATTTGGTTATCACCAGTGGATACTCAGCGACGCATTGCTTCTGACCAAAGAGGAAATTACTAGCCTGCTGAAGAGGAAGCTGTTTGGAGGATCCGATAGGAGATGGATACAACAACTAGGCAAATATCTCCAGGTTTGGAATGTTCGCCACGGCAGACTTGTCGGGACTGATGATGATTATGTTGGCGAGCCTACAACAGATTCGGAGCATCTCTTATGCTACCATCAGGTTACTGTAAAGTATGTTACGGATCCGACAGACTCTGAAAACACGAGGGGTTTTCATGGCTCTGCAAAGACCTTGCGCCTCATGGTGAGTCTTTCATACAATTTCTTTCGTCTACAGTCCATTATGTAATTTATTTTCATTGTTATCGATTTACGATTCTTTCTAACAAAAATTTCAGGCCACTTTGATGGAGGACGTTCGTAGTCTTAGTATTATAGGCCAGCATACTTTCGACAAGGATTCCTTTGGTTATGATCGCTTAGGCGAGATTGCCCAGGTTGCTGAGCGGCGTTGTCCGTCAATACAATAAATGTTGTACGTCACGATCTCGAGAGGCAGGTTGAGGTTAATGACATTTTGGGTCAAGAACTTGGTCCTGTAGACCTGACCCAGCAATATCCACCTCCCAGACATCCGAGGCGTTCGCACAGGTCTAAGCGTGGGCGTGGTGGGGCAAGAGACAATTACACCGACTCAGCCACATCAGTCCTCCCAGCATCAGCAGTCTCATATCCCCTTCACTGACGGTTCATCCCGTCAGTCTTCACATCAGTTTCCACACCATTCTGTATAGCATTCATCACATCAGTCTCCACATCATTCATCCCATCAGTCTCCACATCATTCTTCGCAGATCCAACAGGCGTTTACCGTCCCATTATGTCTCCCCAGCACCAGCAGTCCCAATTTGCCTTCACTCAGTTTTCCTCCTCCCAGACTTCTCAGCTTCAGTTTGGAGATTCTTTTATTGACTTTTCTGGGTTCCAGCAAAGTTCTCTAGATGGCCAGTCGATACATTACACGAGTAACTTTCTTTCGAGTATGTTTGAGGGTGTTGCGGGTCAAGATCAGGCTGATGACCCAGCTGGAGGTGAGCGTGAGAGTCAGGGTAAAGATGAGGATGAGGATGAGGATGAGGTTGAGGATGCAGACCAGCAGGATCAGTTTGAGGGTCAGGGTTATCAGTGCCATAAGGAGCAGGGATCAAGTCAGACTCTAGGGACTCCACCGTTGGCTGTGAGTAAAGGCCAGAGAGTGACAAAGGAGCCCGATAGATTGACTTATAGCTATTTTCATGCTAAAAAGTCCAAGAAGAAGTAGGGTACTAGACTTTTTATGTAGTATTATTAGACTTGTATTTTTTTTTTCCGTTTGTTATGACTTGTATTAATATTCTTAAACAATGATTTCACCTGCATCGTTGCTACTTTATTAATATTTATCAAACACACCTTCGCCGATCAAATCTAAAAACAAAAATTTTATTTTATTTCAAACTATATTTTATTTTTTAAATAATTAATAGTTGCTTCATCTTTTTTTTTTTTTAAACAAACAACAAAGTATTTAGTTTATCCAAATAAAAGATGTAATTCCTAGCTCTTACATACCAACCGTCTATTAAAATTACCACATCCACAAAAGGATAGTAGCAGATACCTAAAACAAATATTCAGTAAACTAAAGTTCTCTTCAAAATTAAGATGCGGTGCATTAAACAATCGCATTGGCAGCACTTGCAATCCTAGGCCAAAGATCATCACACTCCTTTCCAATGGGACCACTGATTGCAGAACCTTTCATTTCTCCCTTGGGATTAACAATCACTTCAGCATTATCTTCAAAGTACATGTAGACACCATCCTTTCGGCGCCATGGCTTGTGCTGGCGGACAATGACTGCGGGCATGACCTTCTTCCTGAGATCGGGCTTACCCTTCTTGATGGTGGCCATAACCATGTCACCGACGCAAGTAGAAGGGAGACGGTTGAGCCTACCCTTCATTCCCTTCACAGAAATGATGTAGAGGTTCTTTACCCCGGTGTTGTCGGTGCAATTCACCGTCGCAGCCACTGGAAGACCCAGAGACATCCTGAACTTGTTACCTGTCGATCCTCCGCGTCCTCGCTTCGACATTTTTGCTGTCTCCCCTGTGAGGTTTTCGAAGAAGAGAAAATAGTTGCTTCATCTTAAGCGTTGGTAAATTATAATATATATTTCTTAAAATTTATTCATATTTTAAGCTTTTTTCTTATATTGAAACCGTCATAATTAATATAAACAATTTGTAAATTAAATTACATCTAATTAATATAAATCCATAAAATTACGTCATTTATCATTATTGAACATTTTTCATATAAAATTATTTTATAAAATAATGATTTAATTTTTAATATAATTTTTTTAAAATTTTATAAATTATAATAATTATTTCATAATTTTAATAATTTATATTTAGTATAGCTCTATTTAATTTAATGAGTATCAATTATAATATTACATTCATATTCAAAATTTAATTTTCCTATTATTAAAATTATCAATATAATTTTCCTATTAATAATTTTCTTCTTTATAGCTCTATTCAAAATTTAATGATTATCAATTATAATTTTAAAATTTTCCTTTAATTTCATTATTAAAATTTAATATTTTTTCGAAGTAAATTTCCCTACAAATTTTTAAACTAGGCAAATTAATTGAATTTTTATGACTATTTCCTTTTTTTATTTAAATAAAATATTCTTTTTTATCTTTTTCGCGCTTTGAAAACACGAAACTTTATTTAATCAATTTTTTTATCATTAATTACTTACGATTAAGTTAAATTAATTAATATATCCTATATTTAGCATTTCTGAAACGCGAAAATCTTCTTTTAGCCTTTTCAAAATGCGATTTTACCAATTTTCGCGTGTTTGAAGCTTGAAAGAATTAATTTTGGGTATAATTAAAACCATAGATCTATTTTGTTCTTCTAAAAATTTTTCAGATATATATAAGTAATTTCCCTTCTTCCATGCCCTTGATAAAAATTTTCCCCAACTTAAACAAGCGAATCGTACATTGAGTCGAACCAAAGCAAAGACAGATTCCTTAAACCGAATCCCCATACATTTGTTGATCCATTTTCATCAAGTCCTCTATATTCATTCTCAACTACTCCGGCACCGGAAAGTGTTTTTTACAAGTGCTCTAATGGTTATTTATGCAAGAATTTTACAGATAAATATGGTGCTAAATGTACCAATTGCAATAAAGCTATGTAAGTGAAGATAAAATTTGTAGGGCCTCCTACGGACGAGAAAGGTGGGTTTGTGAAGGAAGCAGTCAAGTTTATGGTTATGGATGATCTGTCAATGAAGCCAATATCTGCTGTTGATTTGCTGAAAGTGTTGGATGGGAGGGATCCTGGAGCCCTTGAGGAGAAACTTGTGGATATTGGCATGGATGAGGTAAAGTTAATGATTGTCACAATCTACCATCATTCCACGGTATTTCTACATACTATGTGTTTGATAGGGTGCTGAATCTTTAATTTTTGATTGGGAAAATGTTTTTTGATAGTCATAGGTAAAGTGATGATAAAAATTATGATTTTTAGTTGGTTTACGGTTGTTCTAGGAAAAGGGATTTTCTGTAGTAGTTATTCACATATGTTTTGTACATTCAGTATTGACGGCACTAAACGACCCAAATTTAGTCAAGCCTCTTAACTATTCTGTAGTCTGTAAAATGAAATGAAAGAAAGGGGAAAGTAATCTATACCCCTCTCTATCCCAATATGATCATGCTCTTTGGAGTTTTACTTGTAGTACTATTCCTATTAGAAATGAAAATCCAAACCTATCTAATTTCATTTTGAGGGGCGAGAGAATATGATTTAGCTTAGGTTTCTCTTTTTCAGTTTAAGCTCTTTGACTACTTTCATTCTTCCATCCTGTATTCTTAGAAGCAGTGCTTTTAGATCTATTTGTAACCTCCATAGCAGAATTCTCATAACTTAGCCTTTGTCATATTAATCTTTTCTTTTCTCTGTTTCTCAACCTTTACCACCATAGTGACCTTGGCAACTGATGTCAATTCTGTACAGTGTCCATCAATAACTTTTGGCCAGTTAATTGCCTCAAGAGCTTAGTTCAATCGCTGTAAGAACTTCCTTACTTTATCTTTGAGTTCTCGTTCCTCTCATATGTTCTTTCACAGAACAACAAAATATGGGAGGTCTAATTATTGATACTTACTTATGGAATAATGCTCCCATTGATCCCATAACTGCTTCAGACTTCTGTAGTATTGCTTCCACTATCATGTATCCTTGTCCCTTCAAACCAAGATCTCGTTTTAACTGGAGAATAACATTGGCCGATGAGCTGCTTCTAATTTCTCAGCAAACCCACGATAGTTAGAAATATCAGCTCTTATTACTTACACCCCCTTCTCTAGTTATCCTCAAATGTAATTTTTGAGTAAAGGTTTTTTTGCTTGATGTGTATTTATGAAACAAACTACATCTGTTTAAATTTATTTCGTTGTGTACTTCCTGTTAAAGCAAATTTCTTTCCTTTGTTTAATTTGATTTGACAGGCACTGCAGTTGCTCAAAACATCTTTCAAGTCATCCACAGTTCTCACCGACGTCTTCTTGGGTGATATTAGAGGCAAGTGGAAAGATCTTCTAGTTTTTAAGTGTTAGTTTATTGACAAATTTGAAGTACGGTTGAAGAGTCCATATCCTTTTTCTTTGAATCAATTATATTTGCTCAGTTTAGAGGATCATTTCTCTTCACATTTGTTTTTTCACCCTTCTAAATGATGAGAAATTGCAATAACGTTACATGTGATAAAGCTACTAAGAGTAACTCATACTATGGTTCGTTCCTTTGATTTCTTTTTCCACCAATTGATGTGTAACACATTAACTTCTCAATATATTATTACCATTTTCTTAGGGTTTAAAAGTATTGATATTGCGTTCACTTTCGTTTTCTTTTATTGTAGGGGAGAAGAAGCAGCAAAGAAAAGATATAAAGATCGAATGCGAGCCGATTGAATTGACCGAGTGAAACTATTAGGGAGTTGTCATCAAGCAACCTTGATATTTATTCAAAAAAAAAGTTCGGTTTAGCCCGCGACACTTATCTGACAGCCATTTGAATCTTTCATGCTTCAAAAGATAATGTCATTAGCAAATTTTTATCTGGTTTACTTTCTGGAAAACGGAAACTGGCATTTATTCATATAAAGTTGGATGCATTTCCCATTTTTTCTCTCCTAAAGAGATTATGAGCGGGATGAAAAAATTCAGTGTAGTTATGCAAAGATAATGTCTCATGGCATGTGATTAGAAATTGCTTCCTAATACGGTTACGTCAGGAGACTACATGCACTTTTTCACCCAACGTTGTACATTCCAAAGAATTGTCACATTCCAGGGGCATTTTTTCATCTAGTGATACTTTAAAACTATATAAAACGAGACAATTATTCAATCTTTTGGAATTAAACTAGTACGATCTTTGTCGCGTGACCAGTGCGTTTATCAAGTTTCTTTTTAACTCTCGCTCGACTCACAAGGTAATTCAAAATGTGATGATGATATCCTCCCAGTGACTTTAGCTAAAGCTATTACTGTAAAAGCTTTAGACCTATTGGAACAAAAACCGAAAAGACTTTTGCTCGGAATAACATGTAAATAGACTATTATTCTCATTCTCATGATCAATTGATACAATGTATACAGTTGTCCCTTTCGTAAATCTCCTTAGAGAGAACAAATATAGGAAAGCATGTAAGAGTTTGAGCTGTGAAGAGTTTCGTACAATTCACCTTTGTCTGTAGTATACATTCCTACCTGCTAATTCACACGCTCCCACTATCTATCAATGCTCAACTATGGACTATCAAAAAAGCCTTGCTAGGTTGTGAAACTTGAGGGTCAAGCTGAGGCAAATAGGTTAACAAAAACTAAGCCGAGGCATTAATACAGGTTTCCTTTTGGTTGAGCTGCTCGAATGGATTTCTTCCAGCACCAGAATTACCAACCTCTTGTGTTGTTTTCAATATTGCTACCAGCAGTAGAAAGCAACGAATGTGCCATTTGGACAACTTTAGCAGCTGAGACTCGGCCATGCTGGAGATAATGAAATGACTACTGTTGCAGGAAAGCAGAATAGCATCGACATGTAATATCTTCACTGTGTATGTGTTGTTTAACTTCCTATTATTTATTGCTAACAATAGAATGCATCGAAACAGAAGATATGATACTGCTAAAATTGTAACAAAGCAGGAATTACTAACTTAGATTGGGTCCAGATATGAAAAACATTCATATATACAAGCCTCCTTTACGACCTCATGGAATCTAAACATTTGCAAAAAGGGACGATCAGATTTAAATACATATAATAATCTACAACGATTGAAGCCCAAAGAGGAAAGACTTGCTAAACTTCAGGTTCTCAGTCGGTATATGTTCCCCGGCACGCTGGTTAATGCAAGAGGCGAACAATATGGATTTGTAGCATCGCAAACATAGGCTGTTGTTCCAAGTGTTCTGCAACTGAACTTCCATTTCCCTCCAATCAGAACCGACTGTAAAAATTTTGATCCCAAGCCAAAAGCATATTAGCGATTTTTCCAAAAAAATACAAGAAATTATGACAGAAAGAAAGAGGGCAAAAGTTTTTCTAGCTGAGGTTCACCAACCCAACCAAAAAGAATAGAATTGAGTCCAACAGAAAGTTCATATCAACTTTTTTAGTACCAATCAGTGAGGAGGAGATTTCAGTCATAATTGTAATAGTAAGACTCTGTGACATTATCAGGAAGTGCAACTTTGCAAAGAGCCCAGGTCCATTTTGCATGATACAAGATCCTGGTTGCAAGAAAGAACCCCCAACCCCAAAAAAAAAAATTTACGTAAAATCATTGATTAAAAAAAAATCAAAATCTGAATCAAACATCGAACGAATGGGTTGTTATGTATGATGTCAGATAATTTACTCTGTCTATAACAAATTGGTACTGGAAAATATCTCCTGCAATTAGACATTCAATAACTCCCTCTCTGTTGCATCAGCCCATGGGGTTCCAATCCGCAGTTAGAAAACTCCGTTTTAGCTCAGTAAATTTTCTATAGATCAAGGTCTAATAGAACCAATCAAATAAAAAATCAAACTCTGTTTTAGCTCAGTAAGATGAACCCCAAATTTTCTATAGATTAAGGTCTAATAGAACCAATAAATTTAAATAAAAAATCCAACTGAAGCATCAAAGAAATTTTCTATATATGAAACAGAATACAAAAGGTTGCAATTTTCAAGAAGAGCTGCCCGCAAAGTAAAGTTGGAGATGTTGATTTGCCTGGAATGCTTACATTTGCAGTTGCTGGCCTGAAAAAAAAAAAAAAACCCTGCAACTCGATGAAATACTCCCTCCGTCCCAAAATTATTGTCCAGTTTGAGATTTCACTTTTAGAACAATTTGAACTAGAAATAAAAACTCAAACAGGACAATAATTATGAGATGAAGGGTGTACATATCATGTTGAAAACTGCGAACTTAAAATAGCTTAAATACGGGGTAGAGGTCAAGTTACCTTGATTTCTCTTCAACTTTTCCATGGTAGTTTGAATCTCCTCGGACATTCTTTTCCTATTTGAACGTAAACAATAAATTTTAGAATTGTGGGTTTAATTTCTCCATTACAAAAATGATCGTACATTATTTCTGATGATAAAATGTAAAGTAAATTTGGGAAATGATGCTAAACAAAGTTAAATCAAGTTTCATTAGATTTCTTAAAATCAGTTGTTAAGCAGCAAAGCTATCATAAATGCATCTCATTGCACCTCAGGATGGAGCTAAGAAAAACATTGAAGAAGAGGGGACATTAGGAATGAGAGAGAAGAAAACTAATAAAGTCTGTTATCTGCAAAGTCCTTTTTGTGGCTGCATAGTCACAGTTAACGCCCTTTACTGCAGGCAATTTCGATAATATAACTAATGATTATTAATTATATATATATCTATTTTTTTTGGAATAAAGATTGTATTCATTCCATTATATGAAGAGACGAAGTACAGACTCCATATAGAAAACACAAGTGTCTAGACAAAATCAAGAGCTGACCTAAAAATGACTCCATTATTAATTATATTTTTCTAACCTAATCATTATATAATTGCTTGAACCGGGTTTATCATGGTTTGTGCTGCTTTGATTCCAGCAATTAGACTAAAAATGTTTAGGATTACAGATTATGGATTAAAAGAGTTTAGATGATGATTTGTCGACCTAGTTTATGGATGTATAGTATAACAATAACTATATTAGTTGTAAGCAAGTGGAACCGAACAAATTCATGACGTTAAGTGAAATAACATTCCCAATATTAAGACATTATTGTAAGCACTTCGCATATTAGTACAAAAGGAATCAAATGGACTAACCTCATCAGAAACTTGCTCAACTTTCTCAGTATTGTTAACTGCAGAAATAACTTTCGCCAACAATCTGGTAAGCTTTCCCAAGTTCAGCCCTGAAAATCAAAACATGTTAATTACCGAAGTGTTCAGAAGAAAAATGGTAAACCCATTCCCTTAGAATAAGTAACCAGCAGAAAGATGACAATACCTATCAGCTTGCCGCCTTTTTTGATAGACACAACATATTGCTCACGATATTGTTTATAAAAGCCTATTGTAAAGCCTTGGTCACATATTGCTCACAATATGGCTGGAGGAACCACCATCTTGTGTTAAGTCTTGGTTACAACATGATATTGTTGGTATTTCATCTTACGAGAAAAAGAAGTCCAGAAAGATCTCTAAGCTGGGAAATCGAAAAAGTTTTTGACCAAAAATTAGTGCGACCAAAACATAGACAGCGCAAAAGCTGTAATTGTTAGTAAATAAACTTGATTGGTCTAAGTAATATTGGGTTACCCAAGGTTGTCAAGTTGGACCATTAACATTTATGTTTAGTTAAGCCCAAATCCATTAAGAAGAATTGTCTAGAAATATGAAGAAAAAGAAAGTAGGAAAGTCAAATGAAATTTTTACATTGTGTAGAAGTATCTAAGAGAAATATCTAGATATTAGGATTTTAAAATATCTAGATATTAAGAAACCAATAGAATAATCTATGAAATTATCTAGATTAAAATATCTAGATATTACATAGAATTATCTAGGTATTTAAAGATGTTAGAAAAATCTTGAAACTTTGTAGAAGGTTCTATAAATACTACTACAAAATCCCCCTATTAATACACTTAATGTTACCACACAATATTTAAATGTCACAAGAAATATACAATTGAGACAAATTTTTATTGCAACACTTTTAGGAACTTTATTAAGACAATTTAAGAAATATGTCACTATAGAATCTCCTATTAAGACACCTATTAAAATTATAAACAGAATTAATAATAAAATTATGCTAACCGAAAAAAAATTATTGACATTGTAAATAGCTCCGAAAAAAATTAAAGAAATTGTCCCGCCCCATGAAAAAAACTAGTTTGAAATGAGTGCTTTGGGCCTAAAAGTTGGCTGCTTTGTTGAGATTTTCCCTTTCTTACGTTAATCCAAAATAAAGTAAAAAATTAAAAAGGTCTAAGTTCACGCGTCAAGAAATTCACCCCCCTTCCCGTCTATGCAAAATGAAATCCCTAAATTCCTCCCTTCCCAATCGCCAATCGGCGGTGACGTCTACCACTGTCGACCTCCCGGGCTTGTAACATATACTGTAATCGGGATGAAAAAGTCCATCTTCCATTTTCGAAAACGAAGACCAACATCAAGACCATTCCTATCCTTCCACTCTCTCTTCGTCTCAAACCATGTCTCCTCCCCTTCCGAAGGGATGTAGGTAATGCTAAGGTTCAACACTTTTTTTTTATTCTTTAAATAATATGTTTTTTTAATTTATTTTGTGAGTTGAGAGTTGTATACAAAAAAGAGAAGGGGAAGCAAGGGAGGTTTTTGTTCGTGGGCAGTACATTGAAATTAGGTTGATGTAATTTTATTTTATATTTATTTCTTTTTTTTTGTA